CCTTGAGAGTTGCTGGTTCTCCCGGCATCTCCACCGGAGAGAAGAACGCGAAGGCACACTCCTCGTAGTCACTCTCCTCGTCGTCTCCGACCATCATTGCCGCTCCGGCCAGGGCTGTCTTGCCCTGCTTTCCCGGCGCATCATAGGTCAGCCTATTAGGGGGTTGAACTCTCCTCTTCCCCCTTCCTTCCTCCTCAGCTGCAGGGACTTGAAGGCCTTGGCGTTGCTGCGGTGTGGCTCGAATCCGTGGAGCACTCGTAGTACGGGAAGGGAGTGACGGTGCACGCTCGCTCACTTGCTGCACCTCCTCCTCTTCTTCCTCTGCATCATTGGCCTCCTCTCCCCCATTCACAAGGGAGGATTGCCTTGTGGTTGTGCTGCCGCTGCTCAGCTCCAAAGGCAGCTCCACATGCTCCAAACCGGAACTCTTCACCTCCCCAAACCGCACGCCTATCTTCGCCTCATTCTCCGCCTTCCAATCCTTGTACATGAAGTTCTCCATGTACTTGCAGTCCCTGCTCACCAAGAACTTCTTGGTGAATGGGTCCCAAAGAAGCCATCCCTTGCTGTTTTGAGCCATGCCCAAGTGCACGGCCCACACCGCCTTGGCACCAAGCTTGTTGTGCCGAAGATGCTTAGGCACGAGCGCCATGCACATGCACCCGAACACCCGAAGCATATCCACCTTTGGCTTCCTTCCTAGCCACTCCACATAGGGCACCCATTTGTCTGCTCCCACATGAGTCAAGGCTCTGTTCTTGGCCACACACGCGCTCCGCACCGCATCAGGCCAGAAATAGTTGGGTAGCCCGGCTTCAATGAGCAACCCGCGTGCCGCCTCCGTGATTGTGCGGTTCGCTCGCTCGGCGATGCCGTTCATTGCAGGGGAGTATGGCATGGTGAGGGAGTGCCGAATACCATTCTTCTTCAGCCACAACCCAAACTCCTTGCTCAGGAACTCTCCCCCTCGATCGGTGCGGATTGACTTGACTAGACGGTCTTGTTGCCGCTCCACCATCGGGAACCAATCCGTCTTCAACGTTTCAGCCACGTCGCTCTTCTTGGCCAGCACGTACACCCAAGTCATGCGGGTGTAGACGTCGACAATGGTGAGAAAATACTCAGCTCCAGCAGCTCCAAGCTTCAGGGGGCCCACCACGTCCATCACCACCTCATCAAGCGGTGCCTTTGCCGTTGCCTCCGAACTAGGGAACGGAAACCGGGTGAACTTGGCTTGAATGCACGTCGGGCAGCCAAGCACCTCATCGGGCTCCCCCTTCACACGTATGCCAGCAACCATCTCATTCTTCACTAGCTGCTGCAAGATAGGCAGGGCCACATGCCCCATGCGCCGATGCAAGGTGAGCCAATCACACTCCCCCGTAGCCGAAGTTGGATTGGAGAATGCCGCGCTCGCAATAGCGCCCCACATACTCTCTCCGTAGTCCTCCTCCGCTGCTGCCTCTGGGTTCTCCTCACCCTTTTGCTGCTCCTTGGTTGCTGCACCACTCTCCTTAGGTTCACTAAACTTGCTGGTCCCTCCAGGTTTGCTCTTCTTGAGCTCATTCTCCTTAGCGCGACCGTTCGCGCCATCGTCGCTACCGACCGCTCCATCCTTGGTGCTGATGCTTGCTGCCACTTGCCTCTCCTTAGGCATAGGGACCACTGGGATCTGCCACATCTCGTTGTAGACATCCCTGTCCTCATGAAGGTCCCAAAGAATTCGATCGCCAAGCCTTGCGGTGTAGGTCTTGGCTCCCTTCGAGTTCGTGTCCATGCCGGCCTTTGCCAACCGCCGCACGGAAATCAGGTTTGCAGCAAGGCTGGGCACCCAAAGCACGTTCTTGAGGCCCACCATCTTCCCATCAGCACCCTTGAACATGGCCTTGCCCATGCCTTTCACCTCTGCTCGCTGCCCCAAAGCCGATGTGACATGCTTCACCGGTGACGGCTCGAGTTCGGTGAGCAAGTCCGGGCGAGGTGTCATGCTATAGGTAGCGCCACTATCAATCACCCAATAGTCCAGGGGGTGTAGGGTCACCTTCCCCACAGCTGCTGGCTCCTCAAAGCCTTCATCCTTCTCTGGACCAGCCGGTACTTGCGTCGACACGAAGTAGAATAGACCCGGGTATCGATCGTCGCTCGGGTCCTTGTCGTTGTCTCCGCTCTTCATGTTTGCAGCTCCGCCACCGCGACCGCCACGGCCTCCACGGCCTCGTCCTCTCCCTCCTCCTGCTCCTCTACCCTCTTGGCCTTGAGCAGGGGTCCAACCATCAGGGAGTTTGTAGCAGTCGCGCCACATGTGTCCGCTCTTGTGGCAATAGTGACACTCGCCGTCGAATCGGCCGCGACCGCGTCCGTAGCTCTTGTCGTCGCTGCCGTAACCGCCACTCCTGCGGCCTCGGCCGAAGTTGCTGCCACCAAACCTTCCTCCCCCTCGTCCTCTGCCTCTTCCTCGACCATATCCACGGCCGATGCTCGCTGCCCCAGCGCCATCCGCACTCGCCAACTCACGGCGGCGGAAATCCTCTTGAAGGATAGCTCGCTTCACGTCTTCAAGCGAGAGGCGGGGCAAGTCGCGATTAAGGTTGATGATGAGCGAGGACCATGACTCTGGGAGTAAGGCCAGCAACTTGGTCTTCTTTTGGAGCTCACTGTAGTTCAAATCAGCTCCCTCAAGCCGCGTCAACAAGTCGAAGAATTTCTGTACCCCTTCTTCAACCGCTTCGTCTTCTTCAATTCGTAGTGCCGCCATTTGCCGTTCCAACACCACCGCTACCGCCGCTGTTGCAGGAGCATGTACACCCTTGAGAGCAGCCCATGCCTTTGGTCCTTTCTCTGGTTCACGCTGGAATGGCTTGATGTGACGGATCTGACTGCTCCCCAACGCTTGCCCAAGTAAGAGATAGCCTTGTGCGCTCTTCCGCACCCACGGGCTCTTCTCCGGGTCGTTCTCGGGGCGCTTCTCCGTTCCTTCCATCACCTCCAGCAGGTCATAGTGGTCAAAGATGTTCTCCATCTTGAAGGACCATTCAGCAAAGTTGTCACCGTTGAACTTGTCAAGCCCAAACACCCTAGGCTCATCCCTAGGTGGGCCAAGACTTGGTTGCATGGGCGCCATGGCTGAATCACGGAGTTGGCCTTGAGCTTGAGCTTCTCCACTGCCACCAGCACCTCTGCCACCCCTTTCCTCAGGTCCAGACATTGTCGAAACTGCTCCAAGGGGCTCTGATACCACTTGTTATAGTCACAATAGGCTTGAATGTGCCTAAAACGAAAGATAGAGAGCACAGACGGATTTCTGCACAGCGGCTTCAAACGTTGATAGCGTTCTGCTCACAGCTGCAAATGACTTGATTCAAATTGGATCTGGAGCGTATTCACGTCGTCTACAATTAGCAATTTAGATTGCACGATTTGATGAAGAATTGACGACACAGCGTCGGTTTGAACGAACGGTACTATGGCAGCCACTATAGTCTTAGAACACAAGATAGGAAGAGTTACGAGTTGGGAATGACTCCCAGCTCCTACAAACCCCAAGAGCCGAAGTACAGTGATGTGGAACAGTGCCACACTGTCCCCAACCACGAAGGGTCTCGAAACTACCCTTCACTAGGGCCTACACCAAGTGAAATGTTACACTACACAAAGTAATGTAACTATCTTCAATATCTTGAGGTGTACCCTTTTGGCAAGCTTCGAAATCACTTGAGGCTTGACACCAAGGCTCGGGCTCTTCATCACAAACTCATCCTTGAGTTCTTGATGGGTCTGCTGCACACACCTGCGACACGCCGAACGTTCGACACAGGACAAAATAGAAACCGCGCACGACAAAATAGAAACCGCGCGCGAGACACAAACGACCGCGTAACACGCGTCTAGCGATAACTCGCTATTGACTCGACACACACACTCGACATCATGACTCAACATTCACACACAATTATAAGCATGAAATATATATATTATCCCATGCCCTCATACCATTCCATACACACACACATTCACGCACACGGACAACAAGCCGAGTGCAAACCGTAGGGTTGCACCAACAGATGTGCCAGGGGGAGGTGAGATGTGCCACGGGGAGGTGAGATGTGCCAGGGGGAGGTGATATGTCCCAGGGGGAGGTGAGATGTGCCAGGGGGAGGTGAGATGTGCCAGGGGGAGGTGAGACATTCGTGTTGCAACCGACTTGATACTGCACACAGCACGTTCCATCCATCCCCCACACACCCTTCCACCTCCATTGTGTATCTGTGTTCGTGCACACACATACAGGCATCGTCTGACAAGCTCGCCTGCACACATTAAGTGTTAAAAAATGATTTTTTTTTTCCGCTTTTCCTTGCTTCTCCAATGCCTGCCCTGGTCTGCATTGCTTCACCCCTCTCTACTCCTCTCCATTCTCTCTCCGTCCGCTCTCTTCCACCCCTCAGTGCCCACCATCCTCATTGCGCACGAGTTCTTTGATGCCCTGCCCGTGCATCAGTTCCAAGTGAGCGCCCACTACATTCACTACAGAGCATTTTGTTTAGCACATACCAGTCCACTAGATCCAATGCGCCTGCAACTGTTGAATGCTTGATCAGTGATAAATGCGTGAGCCCGTGCAGTCTGCAGGCGTCATTAGGCTGCAGATTGTCTTCCTCTTTCATGCCGTGCCTTGCTGTCACAACCAGGCATGTTTAACACGCCATGGCATGGCATGGCATGTTAAATCATTGGCTTGACATTGGCATTGCATGTTATCGCGCTGTCTTGACATTGGCATGGCATGGCAAAAAACGGAGAGAGGGTGGTGTGAGAAACTGGTTGATGTGGCCGAAACAGACAAAAAAGGCCATCCATCTGAAGACCCCTCCCACCCAAGCCATGCACAAGGGGACAACAGTGGCCGTCCATCTACCGACTACCCTTTCCGTTTCGTCCTTTCCCCCGGGCCGAGTGCCGCAAGCACTCTTTGTCTTCTTCCTCGCATGCAACGGGCCCCAATGGAGGAGCGGGCGGCAGCCGTCCACGTGGAAGTTAGTCCTATAGCAGTGAAGATTGCGCTGCAGATCACGGAGAGGGTGGCGAGAGACGGTGGGGCGGCGCTGATAGTGGATTACGGGGAGGACAGAATGATATCAGACAGCCTTCAGGTGCGCTTTGAATCCTCTCATATCCCTGCCTCTTCTCTCTTGCTCCTCCTCTGCGTCCTCACTCTCATTCTCTCCCCTTAGGCTATACAATTACGTTAGCACGAGTTTGTTGTATCTTAGATAACCTCTGCATCCTTCACTCACCTCCCTCGATTTGTCGCCCACCTCCTTTGCTTCCCTCACTCACTCACTCTCTCTCTATCTCGTGCCCCACAGGCCATACGCAAGCATGAGTTTGTGAATGTGCTGGATGCGCCTGGCTCGGCGGACCTGAGTGCGCATGTGGGCTTCTGAGGCACTTCAAAACACCCTCATTCTCTCTCCTACCCTCTCCTTCCCCCCACAGGCCATCCGCAAGCATGAGTTTGTGAATGTGCTGGATGAGCCTGGCTCGGCGGACCTGAGTGCGTATGTGGACTTCGCTGCCCTCCGCCAACTGTCATCGACTCCAAGTGTGAGTGCTTCTCCGCCTCTGGTAGCTCTGCTGAGAACTTTCTAGTTAGCTATAAGAGCCTCTTAATGACAATGGGAATGTGCTCTTATGAACCTCTCATCAACTTTGGGGACCACTTATCAACTATGGGGACCACTTATCAACTATGGGGACCACTTATCAACTATGGGGACCACTTATCAACTATGGGGACCACTTATCAACTATGGGGACCACTTATCAACTGTGGGGACCTCTTATCAACTGTGGGGACCTCTTATCAACTGTGGGGACCACTTATCAACAATGGGGACCTCTTATCAACTATGGGGACCTCTTATCAACTATGGGGACCTCTTATCAACTATGGGGACCTCTTATAAACTATGAGGACCTCTCACCAACTATGGGGACCTCTTATCAACTATGGGGACCTCTTATCAACTATGGGGACCTCTTATCAACTATGGGGACCTCTTATCAACTATGGGGACGGCATAATGGGATCTCTACAATGAAAACTGCACACCTGTTTCGCTCATGCAATGCGGTTGCCCTTTCTCCTCTCATGCAAGCTGTTCCCCCTTCTTCTCTCATGCATGCTGAACCTTCACATTGCTCCAGTGGCCACTCGTACGCCAATGATCCGTGTGCACACCTGCTGGTGCCACGTCTGCTTCATGCCCACCTGTTGGCAGTTACACAGCCTTGCTGCGGCAGCCCATATCTCCCCATGCCCAATCTTGCCCATGTCCCCTTCACCTCGCCACACAAGCCCTCCCTTTCACAGTGCCGGCTCGGCCGTATGGCCCCATCACTTACTCACATATGCTGGCCCTGTTTGAGAAGCCTGCCTTTTTTCCTATTTAGAGCTTCAGATCTCCTCCTCTTTCCCCTTCTCGTGACCTCTCCGTTTTCTCATTCCCCACAGTGCCTGCACGGGCATACGGCCCCATCACCCAGTCACAGCTGCTGGGGCGGCTGGGCATCAACTTCCGCGTGGAGGCAACTCCTTCGTCCCCTCCTTATGCCCCCTCTCTCCCCCCATTTCCTCATCCCCCCTCACCCGTCTCAACCCTTACAGTGCCTGCACGGGCATACGGCCCCATAACCCAATCACAACTACTTGGCCGGCTGGGCATCAATTTCCGCGTGGAGGCGCTGCTGCGAGGGGCCTCGGAGCAGCAGGCCGAGCCCCCTCGTCCCCTCCTTGTGCCCCCTCTCTCCCCCCCTCTCCTCACCCCCCTTCACCCTTCTCATTCCTCGCAGTGCCGGATAGGGCGTACGGCCCCATCACCTAGTCACAATTATTGGGGCGGCTGGGAATCAACTTTCGGGTGGAGGCGCTGCTGCAAGTGGCCTCGGAGAAGCAGAGAGAACCCCGTTGCCCCCTCCTTATGCCAAATCTCTCCCATCCCGGCCCCCCCACGCCCTCCTCAACCCTCATAGTGCCAGCGAAGGCGTATGGCCCCATCACCCAGTCACAGTTACTTGGCCGGCTGGGCATCAACTTTCGAGTGGAGGCACTGCTGCGAGTGGCGTTGGAGCAGCAGGCGGAGGCTCTCAGGGACGGGTACTGGCGGCTCGTGGGCGATGGGGAACCCCCGTGGCTTGATGACGAGGATGAGAGTGCAGGCGTGGAGGGGAAGATAGTGGAGAGGGAGGGGGAGATGGGGGTGCGTGGTGGGGGTGAGAGTAATTCGTCTGGGGAAGGTGGTGGTGGTGGTGGTGGTGGTGGTGGTGGTGGTGGTGGTAGTAGTGGTGGTGGTGGTGGTGGTGGTGGTGGTGGTGGTGGTGGTGGTGGTGGTGGTGGTGGTGGTGGTGGTGGTGGTGGTGGTGGTGGTGGTGGTGGTGGTGGTGGTGGTGGTGGTGGTGGTGGTGGTGGTGGTGGTGGTGGTGGTGGTGGTGGTGGTGGTGGTGGTGGTGGTGGTGGTGGTGGTGGTGGTAACAGTGGGAGGAGGTCGTTTGAGGGCATGGGGTCGAGGTACAAGGCTCTTGTGATTGCGAGTGACAAGTTAGGCGTGCCGGTTGGATTCGAGTGACCTCATACTCTGCCTTGCACAATCACAAAGCGTGTTTATTGCACAAACCGCTCACCCCATGGAGACATTTCTGGTGGGGTTGCTTTTCGGCACGCTGAGGCACTGAAATTGCATGCAGCGATGTTGTCAGCGTGATTTTGTGCTAGGCTGGCTGAGTGGCATGCTTCTGTGAGCTGCATGTACCATGCTTTCATACAGCAGGTCAAGAAAGCCGAGGCGTGCTCCAATCATCACCCAACATATAGTACACATCTTATAAAGGACCCATCTGTCAGAATGTTATATTTCTCTAGTCTGCAGTGGGGTACTCTATAGTGAGTACAGCCCTGTTAAGGTTTGTTATAAGTACTCAGCTGCTTGCTAGTGAAACCCCCCTTCTCTGTTTTATTCCTCTTTCTATCTTTCACATGCTATCAGAGCAGGTCGACCCTCGCTGGTCAATCCTGTGGATGGGCCCACCTAAAGCTTCCACTGCTGTACTGCCTGTCGCGCGCCCCGGGCGCGCGACGTTTTCTGCCTGCCGCGCGTTCGTGGCGTGCGGCGTTTTTTCTTCCCGCCGCGCGCTCGAGGCACGCGGCGGTTTTCTGCCCATCGCGGCTCTGCCCTGCCCGTCGCGCCGCCCTGCTGGCCGCGCGACGCCCTGCCCTGCCCGTCGCGCGCCTCGTGGCGCGCGACGGTGCCCTGCCCTTCGCGCGCCCCGAGGCGTGCGACGGTGCCCTAATCGTCGCGGCGCCCTGGGGGACCCGTGCGCGCCCCCCCCACCATCCCGTCGCTCGTCGCGGCGCCCTGGGGGACCCGCGCGCGCCCCCCCTGCCATCCCGTCGCCCGTCGCGGCGCCTTGGGGGACGCGCGCGCGCCCCACCCGCCATCCCGTCGCCCGTCGCGGCGCCCTGGGGGACCCGCGCGCGCCCCCCCTGCCGTCCCGTCGCCCGTCGCGGTGCCCTGGGGGACCCGCGCACGCCCTCCCTCCCGTCGCCCGTCGCGGCGCCCTGGGGGCCCGCGCGTCGCCCCCTCCCGTCGCCCGTCGCGGCGCCCCGGGAGCCCGCGCGCTACCCCGCTTCTGCTCGCACGCCGCCCCAACTGCTGCCCGCGTTTCTGCCCCACGCCGCCTGCGTTTGGGGTGTGGGGGTCGCGGGTATGGGGGTGGCGGGTGTGTGAGGCGTCCCCTGCTCCTCCTCCTCCTCCGTCTCCCACTGCTGCAGCTGCCGCTGAGGGGGGTGGGTGTGTGGGAGCCGAAGGAGTGGTGCTAGGGGGGTGACGTGGGAGTGGAGCTAGGGGTGCAGCAAGGGGTGTGTGAAAGGGGGGTGGGAGAGTTGGGGGAGGTTGAGCGGAGGTTGAGCCGCCGTGTCGCCAGCAGCGCCAGTAGTCCGGAGGCTACAATCTCCGGTAGCCCAGCGAGCCTGCTGCGCCAGTCGCCCGTGGGTCAGTTGCTCCTGCCGCTCGGCGTAGCCGTGGAGCCAGTTACTCATGTAGTCCGGAGGCTACAATCTCCGGTAGCCACTGAGCCAGCCACTCCTGTTGCCCGTGTGTCTGCAGCTTCAGCCGTCACCTCCCATCTCCTCTCCTCTCACAGTCACTCCTCCTCCTCACTTGCTCTCTGCGACTGCTTCTAGCTTTACTTGTGCTTGTGAACTATTTTGTGACTGCTTGCTGTGCTGATTATACCCCACTTTGACTATGGGGGTGTGTCAGAATGTTATATTTCTCTAGTCTGCAGTGGGGTACTCTAGAGTGAGTATAGCCCTGTTAGGGTTTGCTATATGTACTCAACTGCTTGCTAGTGAAACCGCCCTTCTCTGTTTTATTCCTCTTTCTATCTTTCACACCATCTGCCACCATAACACCAATCTCAAGCACCATGTGCACAATGGGAACCAGTGAAATGGACATACAACCTGTCTTACTACCAGCAACAAGCACACCATATGAAGCAGCATTAGCCCAACACCTGGTCACATCACATCCACTAGGGTCTGATCTGACCCCCAGGCTCTAACTCTATCCCTTAGGAGAAGACGACGACCTTCTCATCGGTGCCGTAGCGCACCCAGTTCCCTTCGAACGCCCAGTTCTCGAACCCGCCATTGCCAAGATTCTCCACGGAGAACGCCCTGCTTGAAGTAGACGGTGAGCTCGGAGTTATCCCAGAAGTGCCACACCTCCACCTGCACGGATTCCGGGTCGCCCTGCACGGAGTGGTCGCTCTGAATGACCATCACGTTGTACCACGCGTTCATGAATAGATCCACGATCTTTGTCGTCACCTCGTCGTCATTCGGACCGTCGATCGTGCCCAGGCTGCCGGCTTTGATCTGATCCACGGTCACGCCGTCCCAGCTGAACAGCTTTTGGCGCTCCATCCTGTGCGGGGACACGGCGGAATCCGCGCGAGCGAACGCACGGCGGGCGACGCTTTCCGTTGCGTGAAGGGCGGGCCGCGCGGCGCTGGCGCTGGTGACGGCGAGGAGCAGCAGGAAGGTGAGCGGAAGGGGAAGCAGGTTGCGGCTTGCGTAGAGCCGCGCTTTGCTACTAGAAGTAGAAGCCATGAGAAACTTCTCTGATGCTCAGATCTCAGTGAAAAGTAGCGGCAATGACAAGGTGAGCTTGCACGCGAATGCGATGGTTTCAGGAGCGAAGCACAGTCGAAAACTGATGCTGTGCGCAGAGTCGTGGTCGGTATGCACGATCGACTCTAATACGAAATGGAAGGAGAATGGAGGGAGCGAGTATGAAAGCTGTGATAACTGTTTCGAGGCTGAGCGTCTACTTTGTAGGCCTCTGCGCTCTCTGAGTCCGAGACATGGAAAATCAACCTTCCAGTCGCTCTCAGAGACGAGCGCGGCTTACGACTCGCTTGAGCCGTCATGGCCATCCCTCAAGCGGACTCCGTCGCGACTCACGCGAAGGGACTCTGACGTGTGGACTACGTTCGGACTTGACTGATACGCGATGATTCAATAAGGTTCTTCAATGCGACAAGCTGCGGTAGGGGCAATAATTAGGGAAGGGGTAGGGGCAACAACTAGGGAAGGGGTAGGGGCAATAACTAGGGAAGGGGTAGGGGCAATAACTAGGGAAGGGGTAGCTAATAGGAATGGCAGGAGTGGGGTAGGTGTGAGCAGGCTAGGTGAAGCGTGTCGCGGGGTGGAAGGAATGGGTTTGGAGCTGGTGGTGGGGTGTGTGTGAAGGTCGCTTTGCTACAACGAGAACCGCCTTACCCAAGTGTAGGCAAGATCAGTTCACGCAAGCCCTTCAGAAAGTGCACTCTGTTAAAGTGAGTCTAATCATATTTCCTTACTGAACACTTGTGTGCGCGGTATGGAGCTCACGTGTGAAGAAGAATCGATTCTTGGATTACAACTAGGTTTCTCAGACATTACCGCTTTGAAACGCAACACACCGAACGAACCTGTGCTTCCAAAGCATCGTCGTCATCAACAAATTCTTGGTCGGAGAAAAAGTCAAATCTCCTTCCCAACATCTCACCACTCACCACATCTCACCACTAACCACTCACCACCACTCCCCACCCACTATCCACCACCATTCACCTCACCACCACCACCTCACCATTGTCTGCATTCCCGAATCCCAAGCCCATACATCGCGACATTACATGCCCGCACACCCTGCTCTTTCCGCGACCGACCGCGACGACGGACGCAAGGTCCTTCGTCAGTCCCTCTGCTCAATGGACGGCGACGGACTTGACGGTGACGGGCTTCATGGCGACACGTATGACGGAACCCGTCTCCACAACCGGCAGCTAGGCCGTTCCGCACCTATGCATCGCGTTTAGCAGCCGCCAGTTTGCCGCTGAAGAGTTTCATTTCGTGCCGAGAGTGACTGATCCGAAGGTCCAGAGCGGGCCGAATGAGCCGCCCGACGACAGCATACTGACTCGATCAATCATCGATCGAGTCTCTAATTTCGACGCGAGAGCGCAATCGAAATCTCGACTTCCGATGGATACAACATCCGAAGCTTCGTGGTTTGCTGCTGTACCATCGGTCATTGCGTCAACCTGTATGGTGATTCTGGCCGACAACAGTCTTATTGCACTCTACCTGTCGCGTAGGCACCCGGACCTACAGTAGTAGTGTACAGAAGCACCGCGCTGTAGACATGCGACGACAAGCCATGGGTGGTACCACTACGTCCAGGAAGCGTTCCTGCCCTCGCTGCCCTTAGCCGCTCGGAAACCCCCGTCGTTTAGCGTTCCCGTGACGCGGTGCTACGTGGCTCTGCGTGCGGCGTTCGTACGCCGCAGGGCTGTACGTGGCGGTGCGACCTTGCACCTTCATTGCCTCTTCTTCGCGCTTCAAATCCAACCGTCCTTTGCGGTCGCTTTGCTTTATAATTCCTGGGATTCGTGGAACCTTCGAGGAAATGGCGCACAGGTCTTCATCGATGGTCTCGGAGGTATAAAATTGAACCAGATCCGCCTTCGGTCATTCAATCTTCGATCACGGTTCTTCTACAGTTGATTTCGAAGTCATCCAGCCGCCATTCAAGGTAAAGAGCATCGCTAGTGTCACCACCAGTCCCCTTAGCTCCTATCTCCTGCAAGCCAACGGTCCGTTCCGGTTCTCAACAAAGCCGACTCTTCCTTTGCATTCCGCGAAAAGCATCACAAATCTCTCACTCACGAGCGTCAATACATCAGGAAACGTTTTGCTCGCCATGGCTACGTCTTCTCGAGCCGTCTTCCACGTCCTCCCGCTCCTCCTCCTCCTCCTCCTCATTACATCCACGTCTGCTGCTGCTCGCCGCCCGCCGCCAACCAAGGCGCAGATCAAGGCGGAGGTGTCGCGGATGGCAAAGCGGCTGCTGCAGCGCTACCCGCAGTACTCCAAGTTCTCCAAGGACTTCAACAAATACGTCAACCTCGCCAGTCAGTTCTGCTCCCTACCTCTTTCTCCCTGCTTCCTCCTCCCTGCCTCATCATCTCTCGCTCATCCTCCCTGCATCATTCTCCCTGTCTCATTCTCACTGCATCATTCTCTCTTGCTTCCTCTCTTTTCCGTGCTTTCATCCTGCACTTGTCTCTCCAGAATGATAATTTGTCTTCCTGCTTGCCCTCTTTTCTCACCCTTCGTCTGCCATCCAGTCACGTTCACCCGCTTTGTTCTTTCGCCGTTCCAGTAAATCCGACTCCCTCACTCCATCCCTGTCCAAACTCAATCCCAACCCCTTTCTCGTTCCTTCCCCTCCAGTAAACTCCAAGTACAATTTCTCAGCACTTGCTGATGCCACCCTCCTATTCTAAGTCGAAATGTCCAATCCCAACCCCAACCCCTTCCCCTTCCCCTTCCCCTTCCCTGTTCCCATTTCCCTGCCCTCCAGTGAACTCCAAGTACAACTTCTCAGCACTTGCTGACGCCACCCTTCTCATTCCCAGCAACACAGCGGCAGAGGCGCTTTCCAAGAGGCTTCCTCTCACGTCCAAGAACATTCCCAGGGCCTACAACGTCACAGCCTATCACATCATCGCGAAATGTTTCATCCTGCCCAAGATCAAGGCCATGCGGGCAGGCCAGCCGCTGCCGACTCAGCTGCGACAGGCTCTCTACAAGCTGACCGGCAGGAACGGCAGTGTGGTGATGTTCGGGACGTACCCTAGCACCAGAGCGAGGGGGATTGTGACGAGCAGGGTGGTGATTCCCGGCATGTACGTTGGGCCATACTTGATTGCCCATGGCGTTGACCGCGTGTTGCTGCCTCGGGGCACGCGTGTGTGAGAAAGGGCCACTGTGCTAGTGGTGGCGTGAGGGGTGGTTGAAGCCAGATCAGTTTTGTAACTGGGTAAAGTGCTTGTGGGGTGGTAGCTTGAGTACCGGAAGCGCTTTACAGACATTGTTCTTAATAATATAGCATTTGGGGATTGAGTAACATTGACTTCAGCAATGAGTCCATCATTCACCCGATTGAAGCTCTCAAGCAGGAGCAATGCAGGTACTGTTGATGATCAAAATTCCATAGAATCAAATTCACTGCTAGACTAACTAATACACTGATCAAGCTATATAGTGGAATAAAGACAGGTCTAAATAAGCACTAACGGTACAACAATAAAATCTTGATGGATTACCGTAGAAGAACTAGTCCAAAGTAAAATTAGCTACCGTAATTACGGTGAGTTCCATCTGCACTCTACTCTGTGTGCTGCCACTCCACACTAGGGAATGGAACCAAACAACACCTATCTGCACCAGCATCACACAGTGAGCACGTGGAAGAGGAGGCAGCGGCGGGGCTCCGGGTGTCAAAATGCATTCTACTTGCTAGGCTATAGTGGGTTACTCAGTATGGGGTACAACCCGAATTAGGGTTAGCCTATACAAACCTGTACTGCCTTGTTTCTAGTCAAACCTGCACAATGATTCTGACATGGTATCAGAGCAGGAAACCTGTTAGGTTTTTAGGGCCCACCGATCGTTCCGCTAGTTCCTGCCCAAAGCGCCCTTGCGCTGTCCGGCCCTCTCGCACAGTGTCACGCTGCCCTGCAGCTACTCGCACTGCCTGCCCTAGCGCACTACCCTGCTGTCACGCGCGCCCCTGCTGCCCGCGAGCAGCCCCTGCTCCGAGCGCCCCTGCTGCCCGCGAGCAGCCCCTGCCCCGAGCGCCCCTGCTGCCCGTGAGCAGCCCCTGCCCTGCGCGTCGCGCCCTACTGCAGCCCGCGCATCGCGCTCTGCTGCCACGCGCGCCGTGCCCTGCTGCAGCCAGCGCGTCGCGGCCTGCTGCCCCGCGCGTCGCGCCCTGCTGCAGCCCGCGCGTCGCGCCCTGCTGCCCGTGCCGCCCAGGCCGAGCCGCGCCGCCCAGCCCGAGCCGCCCTGCCCGACCCGAGCCGCCCTGCTGCTACTACTGCTGCTGCTGCTGCTGCTCGTTCTACTGCTGCTGCTGGTGGAGGTGCTGCTGGGAGTGCTGGAGGTGCCGCCGCCCAGCCCCACCGAGCCGCCCTGCTGCTAAAACTGCTGTTGCTGCTGCTCGTGCTACTGCTGCTGCTGGTGGAGGTTCTGCTGGGAGTGCTGGAGGTGCTGCTGGTGCTAGAGGTGCTGGAGGTGCGGCTGGGAGTACTGGAGGTGCTGCTGGTGCTGGAGGTGCTGGACCTACTACTGACCGTCACTGCCTTTCATGGCCACTATCACGGCAGTTGCAGCGGCTAGGGGTGGACAGCAGCGGTCCCTGCCTCTCCCGGACGACCCCACCCCTCAGCAGCTTCGTGAGTGGGTTATTCGGCGAGCTCGTCCAGGTGGTGGAGGCTTTGATTTTATGTGGCCTCAGCGACCTCGCGACTGTGCTTCTCAGCGATGCGTCCCTGGTCGTGTAGAGGTTGCTGCTCTCGGTTCTAGTGAGTCTGCTGCCGCTCCAGGTGCTGGTGAGTCTGCTGCATCTCTAGGTGCTCGTGAGTCTGCCGACGCTCTAGGTGCTAGTGCGTCTACTGCCACAGGTCCTGCCTCAGCTGAGGCCTTGCACACTTTCACGCTTGACTCAGGAGCGTCACGTTGCTTCTTTCGTGATTGCACCACAGTCACACCACTCGCCGCACCTGTCCCAGTCTCACTGGCTGACCCCACTAGGGGGCTAGTAGTTGCGCGAGCCTCCACTGTCCTCCCGTGTCCGGCAGTCCCCTCCGGTTCTCTGTCAGGTCTCCACCTCCCCACTCGACGGCTTGGGTCTAGTCTGTACACACTGACCACTGCGTCTGCACAGGTGGCTGCGTCGAGTCAGGTGTCTGCGTCGGGTCAGCTTGCAGCGTCTTGCTCGTGTCGGGTACTCTCCCACCAGACTCTCCTTTGGCACCACCGCCTCGGTCACCCCTCACTGCCACGTCTCCGCAGCATGCACTCCCGTCTCCTTGTCTCTGGCCTTCCCAGGTCTCTGCCCTCCCTCCCGCGCTCGCCTGCACCGCCGTGCCTTCCCTGCGTCGAGGGGCGGCAGCGCGCCGCTCCTCACTCCTCCAAGTTTCCTCCGACCACTACTCCTCTGCAGACTATCCACATGGACGTGTGGGGCCCGGCCCCCGTCGGTGGAACGGACCAAGAGCGCTACTTCCTGCTGGTTGATGACGACTACACACGCTAAACCAATGTCTTCCCCTTGTGATGCAAGGCGGACGACAGCGGTGTTTTGATCCCCTGGATCCGTGCTACTCGTCGCCAGCTGCGCGAGCGGTTTTGTCGGGACTTGCCAGTCCTGCATCTGCACTCTGACAGGGGCGGTGAGTTCTCTTCCGGCCTCCTTGAGGAGTTCTGTCAAGACGAGGGCATCTGCCAGACGTTCACGCTTCCGGCCTCTCCTCAGCAGAATGGGATTGCTGAGTGTCGCATTGGTTTGATCATGGAGGTTGCTCGTACCTCCATGATCCATGTGGCAGCTCCCCATTTTTTGTGGCCGTTTGCGGTCCGATACGCTGCGCATCAGCTCAACCTCTGGCCCCGTGTCTCTGAGCCAGAGACCTCGCCCACACTCCGGTGGACGGGGAAGGTTGGCGATGCGTCGGCGTTTCGGGTCTGGGGCGCGCTCTCCCGTGTTCGCGATGCCAAAGCGAGCAAGTTCTCCTCTCGCACTCTCCGCGGCGTCTTCCTTGGCTTCCCCACCGACGCCCCGCTGTGGTAGTTCTACTACCCGCGCTCGCGTCAAGTCTTCTCCTCCCAGGACGTCACCTTTGACGAGTCTGTCTGTTTCTATAGGCTACATCCGCACGCGTCCCACCCGGTCCCCCTCGCGCCTCTCTTCCTGGTACCAGTCCCCCCCCCGATAGACCCCCTCCCCCCACAGGGTCCTGCTCCCTCAGGTGTGTCTCAGGTAGATCCACCCCTCTTGGTTGAGCCTCTGGAGATCTCTTCTGGCTCCTCTGGCCCAGCTGGGGGGGGTGACCCCGCCGCTGACGACACGGCGGCCACTCGCCGCTCTCCACGCTTGGAGACCCCCCCTGGTTTTCCGCCTCGGCCGTCTTCGCCGCCTCTGCAGCCTGCTCCTGTGGACTCTGGAGCTGAGACTGCTGGTGCTGAGACTGGGGGTGCTGAGACAGAGGGTGAGGGTTCTGGGGGTGCTGCGACTGGGGGTGCTGGTTCTGGGGGTGGTGGTTCTTGGGGTGCTGCGACTGGGGGTGCAGCGAGTCCTAGTGGCGGTGGAGCTGTGGGTGACCCTACTAGAGGTCCTGGAGATGGACAGCCACCGCAGCCTGATCTACTTGAGATGCTCTCGCCGCAGGCGATTCGTGCGTGGATCGTTCGGCGAGGCAGTCCTGGTGGTGGAGGGTACGGTCCTGCTGGTGCTGGAGCTGCTAGTCCTGGAGGTGCTGGAGGTGCTGGAGGTACTAGAGGTGCTGCTGGTGCTGGAGGTACTGGAGCTGCTAGTCCTGGAGGTACTGGAGGTGCTGCTGGTGCTGGAGGTGCCGGAGCTACTCGTCCTGGAGGTGCTACTGGTGCAGGAGGTGCTGGACCTACTAGTCCTGGAGGTACAGCTGGTGCTGGAGGTGCTGGAGCTGCTGGCACTGGAGGTGCTGGTGCTGCTAGAGCTGGAGGTACTGGAGGTGCTGGAGCTGCTGGTTCTGGAGGTGCTCGTACTGGAGGTGCTGGAGCTACCGGAGCTGGTGGTACTGCTAGTGCTGGAGGTGCTGAGGGTACTGGAGCTGCTGGTACTGGAGGTACTGGTGCTACTGGTGCTGGAGTTGCGGGAGCTGCTGGTCCTGGAGGTGCTCGTACTAGAGGTACTGGAGCTGCCGGAGCTGGTGGTGCTGCTCGTGTTGGAGGTACTGGAGCTGTTGACACTGGAGGTGCTGGTGCTGCTGGTGCTGGAGGCGCTAGAGCTGGAGGTACTGGAGGTACTGGAGCTGCTGGTCCTGGAGGTGCTCGTACTAGAGGTGCTGGAGCTGCCGGAGCAGGTGGTGCTGCTGGTGCTGGAGGTGCTGGAGGTGCTTCTGGTGCTGCTGGCACTGGAGGTGCTGGAGGTACTGCTGGTGCTGGAGGCGCTGGAGCTGCTGGTCCTGGAGGTGCTCGTACTAGAGGTGCTGGAGCTGCCGGAGCAGGTGGTGCTGCTGGTGCTGGAGGTGATGGAGGTGCTACTGGAGCTACTGGTGCTGGAGGTTATGGTGCTGCTGGTGCTGGAGGAGCTGGAGCTGCTGGTGCTGGAGGTGCTGCTGGTGCTGGACCTGCTGGTGCGCTTCGCCACCTTCTCGGTCTTCCGCCAGCTCCTACTGAGTTCCCAGTCGCTGGTACTACTCCTCCGTTACTGTTCCCACAGCTACTGCCTCACTCCCCACTGCCTGCTCCTGCTCCTTACACTGCTGTGACAGAGTCCCTGACTGAGCGTCAAGAGCCTGAGACTCGTGCTTCCACTCCTGAGTGTCGAGAGCCTGAGACTAGAGCTTCCGTTCCTGCTCGTGTTCGTCGTGTGCGTCGTCCTCGTGCTCCGGCTGTCCCAGGCACTCACGATACGACACTCCATCCTTCCTCTGTTCTACAGCGTGTTGTCCTACCATCACCTCTTGCGTCTTCTCTTCCTAACGTTGCTGACCCTCCGTCTGACCTTGCTCGTGCTTCCAGTCCGACTGTCACTCGCTTTCTTGCTACAGTTGTGACGGACCCTACGTTCTCGTCTCCTGCTGCGTTTGCCTTAGTCGCTGAGCTAGTTGACTTCGCTGCTGCGCACCACCTAGACTACCTTGCGAGTCTTGTTTCTGACCCTGACCCTGCCTGTCCTCCGTCCGTCGGGGGTGAGGTTGCCCTTGGCTGTG